TCTCCCAGTATGCTTATAACCAATTCTCCTTAAATTCAAGCACCACCTTCTGTAGACATGTGTACTTAAATATGTGGCTCTCCAAGACCAGGCTAGAATAAGTATCTTACCTAATGCGTCCTACACCTCCCGTGCACTGCTCCGTGTCCCTCTGCTGCCCCCTCTTGGTTCTAGGCAGTACTCCCTCAGACACTGAGACAAATGACTTAAGTCTCAGAATAAAAGCTCTAAGTGTTTTAGAAGTATTTGTATAAGCAATGCACACTTGGTGGCTCTCTACTTTTGGTAATGTAATAAAACTACAAATGGTCTTCAGTACTTATAATCCTCATATATAACTAAAGGAAACTTTCCAACTGTAAAAACAAAATAATTATTTTTACCAAGTAGTTTCAGAAAGTCAGCTCAAAACTCTCTAAATTAACTTTAATTTTTTAGAAAACATTAAGATACATAATGGGCTTAGCCAATGATTTAGTAATTCTTTACATTTTTTGAGTCATGAGCAGATTTGAAATCAGCCTATCAGCCAGAAGAGAGTATATTTAGAGGACATCCACAGGACACCATGAGAGATTTCCGCATTTCAGTTTCAAGGAAGGACTTGCTGCAGCAGCTGAAGGAAATGCTGGCCACAGTCTTCAGGTAGCTGTCAGCCCCTAGAGAAATCTCAGTTTGTCTAAGATCACCATGTCCTTCAGGAAGCCTACAGAAACAACTGGCCAAAATCAGAATATAAAGGTGTGACCATCTTCTCCCCATTTTGGCAACTCTGAAGGCTTATTCTAGTTCAGAGCTTTCCCATAGATCAGTCGAACAGCAGTTGGGCCTGCATCACAGTACAACTTCTCCCCCTACCCACTCCTGTTTCTTTCCTTTCCTGCTATATGTATTGAAGCTAAGGGCACTACTTAATAAATATCACACTGAAGTTCATCTCAAAGTCTCCTTCCTGAGGACACCAACATGTGACAACTATCAATGTGACTATATAAAGCAATTTTTTTTCCTTCTCATGGGACATGTTCAAAAGCTACAAAAAGGACACTTTATAAGTTTGCAAATCATTTTTAGAGAATATAGAGAAATACATAATTCCCAACTCCACTTTATATCAAACCCTGCCAACAGTAGGTGACACTTATTGGGAATACTAAGGAGGAAGTGAAAACAAGAATCCTTAGAGAGTAATATCAAGAGCAATGGGTCCAATGAAAGTAGATCTCAAAAAGTACCAGCAAAATAAACTTCCTGAAAATGGAAGTACATCCTGAAGTCAAAAAGTAATATTCCTAACTTATGATGCTTGGAGAAAGGACTAGATAGATTAAACTAGCACATCTGTCTTCTTAAAAGGTGGAACCATAAAAGTAAGTATTCAGAAAAGTCATATTTCTGGGAAATAATATAACTGTCTAACAGGAGAAAGCCTTTGCATTATGAAAACTAGCTAGCCTGAAACTCTCTACCTGGCCCTCCCTCTTTCCTGAAAAGGAATCTCTTACAAATGAATAGGCCAAGAAAATCTAACTCAATGAGTAATATTTAAAGGTACAGAATTCATTTTTTAATATTTTTAAAACACCCTTTCCTCTTCTTCCTTCCATTCTTTAAAAAATACTTATTTCTTTGTTGCCTTGAAACAACCAAGGATAATAAAACCTGTAAGAACAAGACACTTTTGGGATTACTGAGGTAAGAAGAACACAGAAGGCAAATAGTTGGGTCAGCAATTTGATTACATACAGGAGGAACAATAAATAAACAGAGTAGTGTGAACCAAATTTCTCATTAACATCAGACAAATCCAAAGCTGAGAGTCTTCCTACAGATTAACTGATCTGCATTCTTTAAAAAAATAACAGGGTCATTAAAGAAAAGGAAAGATTGAAAGAGGGTTCTAGATTTCAGGATAACAGAGACATGACCAAAAAATTAGACATATAATCTTTCATTTGATCCTGGTCCAAATTAAAAAATTGTCTGTCTATATCCATCCATCCCTTAATCCATCCATTATAGAAGTTATCATTGGGACAACTGACAAAACTTGAATGTACTCCATAAATAAAGCGTATTTTACCAACAAATTTTCTGATTTGATAGTTGTACTATGGCTTTGCAATAAAGGGCCTTTATATTTAAAAATATATATATTTTAAAAAAGACTGAAAGAAAAAGATTTTCTCAATGTTCTTAGGGTCCCCGGCTGGAGTTGAAAATTAAATTGAGAAAGACAAATTAACAGAGTTTCTACAAGTTTCACTGAATTTTTTACATGTACATGGGAGTCTTTACAAGAGAATGAAGACCAGAAAAATATAATCAGAAGAGGAAGCCTTTATACTTATTAGAAAAAGAAACAATAAATTTGTGAAGAATCTTCAAACAAATATGTTTAGGCTAAAGGTAGCAAATGGGAAAAAAAAAAAAAAACCTATAAAGATAAGAACTTGTTTAACAAGGCTTGTTTGTATACAGGAGTCTGGATTTCAAATCCCCATCTCTGGTGATGAGAATGTTTTCCTTACTCCTGGCAAGAAAGGGTACCTTTCATAGTTTTATGACCTATTTCATTGTTAACTCATGATAAGGCATCGCAGTTAAGTATTCAATCATCAGGCACTCTACTCTGCCAAGCCTCTATCACTACTCTTCACCTGAACTTCAGCTACTGTTTTAACATTGCCCTTGATGGTTCTGCTATTAAACCTGTTATATTTAGCCAACTGACTCTGCTCTCTTCTGGCTCTGACACCTTTGTTAGTTAATTTGTTTGCTCTGTCTGCCTTCCTTGGGTCTCAATTTCTGTATTCTAGTCACATATCACCATTTGCTCCTCTCTCTTCCAGAGAATTTAGTGTCTTTATTGCTGTTACATTGCTTTTTAACCTAGAGAATGATGTTACCTTGACATACCAGTTCTAATATTTTAACCCAAAATAAAAACTTTGTGGATGACTCTTTGTTCTATTTTTAAAACCAGATCCTATTTTCTTTTGGGTATTACAGTACATAAGTTCTTACTTACAACTCTAGTTTCCCTTTTTGTCTCATTTTATTCTCTGTGGCAATACAGATCACCAAATTAACCAAGTTGCGAAAGAATATGTGTTAACAGTGTTTCCCAAAGTGTGCTCCGTCGGATATTGTACATTTTAATTGTTTTGTTTCAGGAGACACAACCTTCTCTTCCCTCTATTTGATCCTTTCCTTCCCACTGTTCTGGGAGTTGTGGGCAGCTCTCCAGACTAGGCATATATTTGTGCTCCCTCCTCCCTTAACAGCTTTGAAAAAGCAAGCTGCAATGTTATGCAATGTTACCCTTACAGTCAGGGTAAGATTCTGAGTTATCAGCTGACCCAGCAAGAAAGAGAGGTCTCTGTCAGAGGTTCTGCAAGGAACTGAAAGAGAGGTTCTGCAAGGAAATGAATTCTGCCAACAACCTCAAAAGCCTCCAGAGCTTACAAGCAGATCCTACCTCTCGGATGAGACCTCAGCTTGGCCAACTACTTGACTGATACCCTGCAGTAAACTCAGTCAAGCCTTGCCCAGATTTCTGAACTATGAGATAATAACTGTGCATTGTTAAGCTGCAAAAAATAATTTTTTGATAAAGGCATTTTTGACCTTAAAAAATTATTTTTACATGTATGGTTACGTTTGCTGTAAGAGTGTCATGTGGAAAGCACGCAAGACACAAACAAATGCATCAATTCATTCAATAATTGTTCATTGATCCCCTCTTCAGTTAGGCCACTAGACTCCATGATGGCAGTAAGCCTGCTTTACCAGACTTTCATGTACAAATGTGTTCTACCCTTGCTGTGTGCCCAAATTTGCCTGAGGCATCAAGATATTTGACAGAGAAATCCCAGCCAGGGAGCTAACCCACATATGGCACAGCAGACCTCCTGTTTCTCCAGCTGCTCCCTGTAGCAGTATATTTTAGTCAATCCACCTGTTCTGCTCTCCCAACTCTTTCTCTCCCCCACTCTGAATCCTCTCATCTAACCATACTTTTGGTCTATACCCCAGTTCTTCTACTATATATATATATATATATATATATATATATATATATATATATATATGACACATTTCTACACAACCACAGTACAATAATCAAAATCAAGAAATCTGCTAATGTGATATTACTTTCTAATTCAGAATCCATTTCAATTTTGCCAATTGTGTCTATAATGTACTTTACAGAAATAATAACAGTTGTTGCTATCAGTATTATTTTGAACGAAGATGCAATATTAATTTAATGTTTTACATTTAGTTGTCATGTATCTGTTCTCCTTTAATCAAGGCAAATTCTCTATTTTACCTTTTCTTTCATGCCCTTGACATTTGTACAACATGGGCCATTTATATTGTAGAATATACCTTAATTTGGGTTTCTCTGAAGCTTTTTCATTGTTCAATTTTGGACAGGAATACCACAAGAATAATATTGTGCCTTCAATATATTATATATCTGAGGCACAAGATATATCAATTTCTTCCATTACTGGTGATGTTAAAACTCTGATCTCTTGGTTAAGGTGGTGTCTTCCAGTTTGGGAAGGTAACTTACAATAAAGAAATAACCACAGAGATGATTATAAATTATCAATGTGTCCTGCAAACTAAAACAGACAAGAAGGATGAGGATAGTTTTGGAAGGAAAAACTAACACAAGTAAGGACCTGAGTAGGAAAGAAATAAAAAAGTATTAATGAAAGAATGTTGTGCTTCTAGGTGGTAAGGAAAAGGCAGAGAAGAGTTGCTAAGAGAATTGTGAGTCATAGTATCATCCACCTTAATCATCATCTGCTAAAACTTAAATATTTAAAATTTACCTAGGCTAAAAAACATAGATCTTTCTATCTTTAGATAATAAAGCTTACATAAGACCAGAAACTTCTTGAAGATAATGATAATCCCTTAAACATTTTTATTTCCTACAAGTATCTGGCACATTTAAATTATGGTCTTTGAGCATTCATAATATTGTCTCAACCATACCTTTAATAGACTAGGTGCCTGCTCTTCTTGGTATATCTGTGTATATCTGTGAGTAGATGTATATCTGTGAGTAGATGACACAATCACAAATTTTAAAATTAGTAATACAATGTCTGACACAAATATAATCATTAAGGAGCACTGAACCATCATGACATTATAAGAGCAAAGTATGTAAGATTAAATGATCAAAATAAGCATAGAGCTTATTAGTGGCTACCTAACGTTCTGCCACTTACTGACTATGTAGCCTTAGTCAAGTTATTTGATTTCCTCAGACTTCAAAAATCCCATTAGGTAAAACAGAAATACTAATAATATTTTCTTTATAGAGTTGTTATGAGGATTAAACAAGTTAATACATGTAAGTACTTACAATAATAGCTTGCATATAGTAAAGTTTTAGATAAATATAACATGATTAAATATTATTTACAATTATGACAATGTTTACAATGCCACGATTCTTAACATTTTGACGAGTCAGAAAAAGTAACTAGATGTTAACTTTTCCTACGCTAAAATAAATGGATAAATAGTGAATTAAGATACAGTTGTTGACTGTGCCTCTAAATTAATTAGTACTTTCAAAGTACTAACTTTGAAAATGGATAGTCAACTAAAATATTCTTGCTGGCTCTGAAATGAAATATTCAGCAATGACAGTTCTCTTAATTTGAAACTCATGTTTTAAAGTAAATGTATTTTGGGCCTCCCCGGTGGCGCAGCGGTTGAGCGCTGGGTTGCGAAGCTGCCGGCGACCTCTGTGGCGCAGCGGTTCGATCCTCAGCTGCTCCCCGGCCACCGGAGGAGGGTCCCACATGGCGTGCAGACCTCTCCTGCCGCCCGCTGCTCCCCTCAGCGGTGTACTTCGGCCCTTCTGCCTGCTCTGCTCCCCGCTCTGGCTCTGGTGAATTCTCTCACCCTCCCGCGCTTCTGACTGTACCCAGTGCATGTATAATTAAAAAAAAAAAATGTGTTTTAAAAAAAAAAAAAATAAAGTAAATGTATTTTACAAAATGATGAGAGTCATTAGTAGAACAAAAAAAATGCCTTTAATAATTCAAGAAATATCTGGATAGCATTTTAAGGAAAAAAAAAACAATCTGGAATGACTTAAAAAACACAATCTTTGTCAGAATTATAAGACTTTGAAAATCCAGCTATTCCATCAATATAGCATTCCATTACTGTCCCTTGGGTAGTACTCACCTTACTACTACAGACAGAAGATATACACAATCTCTTTTAAATTACAGGCTATTTCATACTCTATATATTTCTTCTCTACCCCAGGAAATAAATAAACTTTTAAAATAAGTCAAATTCTTAGACTTAGACTTCAACATTCTAATCCAAGCTCCAAAAATGTGTCATTTCATGATAAAATTTGAACATCTATACAGAATAAAACTCTTATTTGGAGCTGAACTAATTAAAAGATATATATATATATATATATAGAATCAACAATCTATTTTTTGAAGGGATAGTCAGCTGCTCTACTTTCTCAGAAAAAACACTGGATTTATTTATACAAAAGCTACCTTATTTATTGGTCAGCATAAATAATGCCTACACAAATATCTCAAGCATTGTAATGCCTGCTTTTTATGAAGCCTACATTCTGGGTTTAAATGCAAGAGAAATGTCAAACTGTGAAAGTCAAAAGACTTTTATGACATTGTTCCAGCAGGGCATACAGAAGAGAGCTTTATCAAAGAACCACTGACAAGCTTTTAAAGAATAAAAAAAAAAAAATCAATCCATTTGCAACTAACATTTGGTAGAGAGAGAAAGCACTAGAAAAATCTTAAATGTACTTGTAAGCAAATAGCAAATTAAAAATCCTCTGGGAGTTGGGAAGACAAATAAGATGTGCCTCTAATGACGAAATTTTTGCAAGCACTCTATGGATGACTTATTTTATTTTTTATTCACTTACATAATTTTTACAATCAAGTTTTTATTTTTTCAATAGTTTATTTTTCTGTGTCTCTCCTCAGTGACTAAGAACATCTTTATATTTCATTGTTAAAAGCAACCATACTTTAAGATTTCCTTCCTATCCATATGTCTTTAATTCCAACTTTCTTGTTGAAGACTAATACATTATAGAATACAGAATCTGGATTTGAATACTGTAAAGATTTAAACTGGCTTGACATTTCTAAGAGCTAAGAGTAAATCTTCTAAATTCTTCAGCATTACAAGGTATTTCTTAGTTACAATTCAGGGTACTCCTATTTCTGTTTTTCAAATTCTAAACCAAACCACAGATTCAAGTTTTGTTTCCAGAAGTCATTTATTTTATACTCTTGTATAAAAGAGATCAAATGATTTCAGATCTCATTCAATAAACAGGTGAGGGTTTTTTTTTTTTTTTAAAGATTTATTTATTTATACAAGCACTGGATACAGTCAGAAGCGCGGGAGAGTGAGAGAATTCACCAGAGCCAGAGCAGGGAACAGAACAGTCAGACTGATGAAATACACTGCTGAGGGGAGCAGTGGGCACAGCTGGAGAGGTCTGTGCTCCAGGGATCGAACCCACGCTGCAGAGTCTGCAGGCAGCTTTGCAGCCCAGCGCTCAACCACTGCACCTCCAGGGGAGGCCCTACAGGTGAGGCCCTACAGGTGAGGTTTTGTTGAGATATTTTATCATAATGATTATTACCCTCTCTCTCACTGAGGAAGAACAAAATAAAAAATGAAATTTTACTTTGTGGGCTAAAATCAACTTAATATTGATTTACATTAAAGTCCTTCAATTTTATTGGAATTTGGAAGATAGAGTAGGAGGAAGGATGGAAACATTAATAAATTTTTCTCGATAGATTATGTCACAAATAGCTTTTCTCTGGATTTGTTAATGTTTGAAGATTTAAGTCTGTAAATACATTTAAGACTATACATACACTTGCTTGATTTTTTTCACTGTTTTCATAGACGGTAACATTCAATCTGGAAAAAAGTAAACATGCTTTCCAGATTTTGTAATTTTAAATTATTTCCAAGAAAACAATGTTAAAAAACATCAGAAATTTTGAGTATCCTAAAAAAATCATTTTCATCACAGGATCAAAACACAAGTAACCACTCAATGAGAAACGACCTTACACATGTGAAACTGGTCAATAGAAAGACCAAAAACAAGTACTGTAGTAACAAATACCTGAAGAGGTGTGAATAATGACCCTATGCATAAGCAGTGATATAAACCAACATATTCAATAAAAAAATAATATAATTAACTAACACAACTTAGGAACAGTTTAGTAAACATATCAATCTATATCACACTAGTAGCCTACCTGATTTCTTTCTAGGCATCATTTTCTAAGCATGACATATGACATACAGAAATATACTCTTTAGCATATTGGCAAGCCTACTTGATTTCTTCCTAGGCATCATTTTCTAGGCATGACATACAGAAATACACTCTTTAGCATATTGGCATGCTCCTTCGGGCATCACATACTAAGGTAAACACTATACAAAACATTGACTTTTTACTTCTTTTTGTCCAATTTAAGAATACATCAGTAAGCATTTCAGAACTGCTCATCATTTGTAACTATCGTGCAGTATAATTTTGATTATACCTATCAAGAAGTACTTATTAACGAGTTTTATTATATTTTATTGGGCTGAGCAATAAAATACTCTTACATATTTTTTTAGTATGTAGTCTACTTAGTACTACCTTCCACAAAAGACAAAGAAAAACATTATTTCTTGCTGTTTTTTAGGTGTTTATTTCCAAAACTTTGTAGATTAATTATACAACCAAGTTCAGTTCAATTTTGATCATGCACAACTGAGGGAGATATATTGTTAAATATCAGAAATATATTTCCCAAAGGAGCTAAAAGCAAAACACTATATCCTTGATGTTAATATATCTGATTCTAGATTACATGGGAGTAACACTTTTTAAGTTTATGAAGAAGCTAACTTTCCTAGTTTTTTATTGCAATAAGAATAAAATGTTTCTCTTCACTTCAGAAGGAGAATTATCAGCTAAGACTCAATTGCAGTAATTATTACTAATGAGAAAGCAAAGAACAGGAATAGTACTACTTGCTGACACATCACAGGTGGAGTGTGGGTTATTGGAAACAACAAAAATCACATTCCACTTAACCAACAAGCAAACTTGCTATGGAATTCTCTGAGAAATAATTCACTCATTGTGATCTTATTCATTCAAGTCTATACTTCTTAAGCTGAACTGTCAAATTTTATAGTTAAAGCTATACAATCATCTACCAAGCTGTCTTATTATCTTTAAAATTATATATATATATATTTCCCCTAAATAATTCATTTACTAATTAATTCAACTAGCTCTATTGATTTTCCATCATAGGCTAACATTTTCCAGTCTGAGCTAAAAAATGCAGAAGACAGTCACTGCCCTCAAAAGGCCTGTTATACTTTAGGAAATGGAAACACAACAGAACAACACCATGAGATAAGTACAATCATGCAAATAACATGCAACTGCACAAGTTATATAGAAAGTAGATAAGAAATGACATTTAATATTAGAAAAAAGGGGAGGATGTGAGGGAAATTTCTTAAAGGAGATGCACGGGAGCTGAGTTTTAGTGGGTAAATTATTGTTAGCCAGATAAAAGCATTTACGGGGAATGGTGCTGGGGATATTTCAGAAAAGAAAAAAGAAAACAAAAGAAAAAAAGAGAAACTTTAGTGAGGTGCTACAGGTTAGGAACAATTTCCAGGCTAAGGAGAAATAAAGTCCAATGCTCTGCAAATAGATCCTAAGTCAAAAGGAAAATTTCAGGTAGGGTGGAATATGGTGTTGATCATTTCTCCACACGAATCTCCTTTTATTATTAAGTCTAGGGCAAAACTCTTCATTTAAAGATGAAAATAAAAATATGAGTCTGGTTATCTATTTATGGATCTTAAAAAGGATAATTTAAAAAGGGACAAAAAATACAAATAGCAGGTGATTTCCCCAAATGTGGAAAGCTAGGCTGCATAAAAAAAACAGAAAAACAATTGCATGAAACAAATGAAAATAGCCAAGATCTTAAACAAGAAAATTAACTTTTATGAAGCAAAGGCACAAAGCAATGATAAATGTAAAACCTTATTGAAAATATAAGGAAAGAACAAGCGAACGGGAAATGTGAATTAGCAGAGGACAGACATAAAGTAGCAGAATCAATCAAAATGAAAGAAAGAATTTTGAAGAAGCAAAAAGTAGATAAGTATAAGTATGGAGGACAAAATAGATTCAACATATAAACAAATGGTGTTTCTGAAAAGAAAAACATAATAATAGAAATAGAAAATTAAATTATAATTTAAGACAAATTTCTCAAAAAACAAAAAAGAAAAAACTTGAATCTACCCATGTAAAGTTTCCCATGCTCCAGAGAATCTTGATACAGAATGTTCAATACCAGGATATAGGCTATTAAAAGTCACTGAACTTGAAATTAATAAAATAACAATTTGCAGATGTTAGATAAAAACTTTAGGTCACTTCTAAGGGGCAGAAATTCAGATTGACTTCAGACATCCCTACAGAAACATTTAATTAAAATATATATATAGTGATAAACTTCTAAAAATTCCTTAAAAGAGGTGATCCAATAATTTTATTTCTACCCAAACTACTGAAGGCAAAAAAGCAAGGGAAAAAACACTTTAAAACAAGAAAGTCAGGTGAACACTAATTATATTTTATTATTAAAATAAATATGGAGCTCAGGGAATAGAAGATAATTTAAATGTTTCTACATGTTCCCATGCCTCAGAAGTGGCAAATAACAAACACTAGGAGAGAAGTATGAGGGAAAAGGTATAAAAATGCTGATTGTGGGCCTCCCCTGGTGGCACAGCGGTTGAGTGCTGGGTTGCGAGGCTGCCCGCAGCCTCTGCAGCGCCAGTTCCATCCCCGGCCAACGGCGAGGGTCCCACCAAAAAAAAAAAAAAAGCTTATTATTTCAATTAAAATAGCAGAAGGTCAAATGATAACATTTAAAGCCAATCAAGAGAAACAATATAAATACTGATGACAGGTAGATATTAAGGTATAACACTTAGCAGAATAAATAAGGATGTAGTGTAGTAATAAAAGCCATAATTGAAGAAGTAATATAACTATAAATTTGAACATATCAAAGAAGTAGCAGCTAAATACAAGTAAATACTACAAAAAATGCAAAAAGAATGAGACTTGAAAATTTAGTTATGGTGAGAGATTCAACAGATCCCACCTATAACTAGTAAACAAAAAATAAGTAAGGCCGGAAGAACTGAGAGCTCTAATAATACTTACCTGGTAGGGGAGATACCACAATCACAAAGGTTGTTTTTCCAACCCCGTTGCACTCGGATATGCAGACACTCATGATTTCCCCAATGTGGAAAGCTAGGCTGCATAATTTGTGGTAGTGGTGGGATGTGTTCATGCTCTCCCCTGGCAGAAAAAAACAAACAAACAAACAAAAAACAAGAAAATTGGGAAGAATAAACCTAAATTAACAGGTTTATGGATGTTTATATTCTTCTAATATATAATATACTTTTCCTTTTATGTCAATGTACTACTTAGAAAAACCAATCAGAGTTGCAACCCAAATGCCCAAAAATAGATGACTGGATCAAGAAGATGTGGTACATATACACCATGGAATATTACTCAGCATTCAAAAAAGATAAGCACATGCAATTTGCAGCAACATGGATGGCGCTGGAAGGGATCATGCTCAGCAAAATAAGCCAAAAAGAAAAAGAAAAATACCGGATGGTCTCACTCATAGCAGGAATCTAGAAAACTTAAATAAGGGACCAGGAAAATGAATAACTATAAGAAAGTGAAAATCAGAATCAACAAAAAACTATGAAACAGAGACACTTTTGGGGCGGTGGGGGGTGGGAGGGGAGGGATTGGGATCAGAAAGGGGGGGTTGCAACTGTATGGGGAATATAAAAATAAAATTTATTATTTAAAAAAATAAAAATAAAAATGAAAGAAAAAAGAAAAAAGTAAAAAACAAGGAAAAAAAACAATCAGAGGTTTGGTCACAAATAGAAAAGAGATTATATAGCATTTTTCTAGTCATAAGTCATTATCATTAGAAAAAACTTTTCTACTTGGAAGTTAAGAAAAATAAGTAGTGCTGATAATGGTCATATCAAAAAGGAAATTTTAAAAGATATAATAACTTTTATAGAAAACAATGAAAGGGAGAACTTTTCAGTCTATTATCTCCAAGAAATGGAAAAAGTTATTCAGAGGAAAAAAACCTATCACTTTGAATGTCTTCATTACTAAAGTAGAATTATAAATATATATATATATATATTCATAGTTAGAAATTAAAAATATTTGGGGAAGGATAAAAGATTGAAAATGAAGATAGGAGAGAGTGGAAACTGGAGACATGGGTGGATGAATTGTATGAAGCATTCAACTTTATTCTATAAACTTGGGAGGTAAAATTGAAAATGACTTCAGAATAATAAAAACGGTTGAAACAGTTGCAATACAGTGGGAAATGGTGAAGCCTTCAGATCAGAGGAAATGCAGTGTGTCCCCTACAGATTTTTTTTTCCTAACCTGTGGTGTGCTAGCCGCAATTGCTAAGTATTCGGCCTTGGTTACCCACCCAAAAATCATTATCTCCATTGTTCCTAACTAGAGTATAGAGCTGCCAAGTCTGCCTGTTTAGGCCTCACACTATAAAGAGGTTCCTCATAAAAGGACTATGACTAGACCTCATGCATGAGTCTTCTCCTGACCTCATCAAAAAAAAAAGAACTATGAATCATTTTCCACCATATTGCAGTGAAGTTTTTTTATTCTACTAACTTTGCTATAACAAAATTCAAATTAATGGAAGTAAACTTTTTTTTTTAACAGGGTTAGGTTTTTGTTGTTTTTTTTTTTCTTTTTGCAATATTTCAAAATATTGATGTAAGTGAAATATTTCCAATAACAAAACCTAGGTATGACTTCTCCTGAAATATTACAATATATTTAGCATTCAATTCAAATACCTTAATATTTTTTAGAATATAATTAACTTTATATATGTTAATATATGTAAATAATATTTGTATATTTCCCAGTATAAAAAAGCTTCTCAAAATTAAAAATTAACTATCAGTGAAGGTGTACAATGTCACAATGAAGACTATCAGATGTGCCAATAATTTTTATTGAAAATGAGAAACTGAAGCAAGTAAGCGTTGACATTCTAACTTTTCCTAGAAAAGATGGGTATCATAGCAATTTAATAAATCTGATTTAGGTCTCTATTTATTGTGAATAAACCTCCATAATTTTCATCTTATTTTTTACTATTTTTTGGTTTACAGAATTTACATAGAATGGATTTTTAAATATAATTTTCATTATTGAGAAGTGTAATATACCAAAAATTTTAAAACTTGCTTCAGGAAGGGCCTCTCTGGTGGCCTAGGGTTAAGTCTCAGTGCCATCACTGCTACAGACTGGGTTTGATCCCTGGCCAGGGAATTGGGCCACATATGGCAGCAGACCTCTCCTGTCTTGCCTGCTGCTCCCCTTATCAGTGTATTTCAGTAAATCCACGTGTTCTGCTCCCTACTCTGTTTCTGGTGGATCTTCTTAACCCTGCATCTCTGGCCTACACCCCAGTTCTTCTAGGCAATAAATAAAAAGATCTTTTAAAAAAATAAAATTTGCTTGAGGAAGAAGCAACTTATTTTTTTAAAAAGATTTATTTATTTATACAAGCACTGGCTACAGTCAGAAGCGCGGGAGGGTGAGAGAATTCACCAGAGCCAGAGCGGAGAACAGAGCAGGCAGAAGGACTGAAGTACACTGCTGAAGTATACAGGGGAGCAGCGGGCAAGCCAGGAGAGGTCTGTGCGCCATGTGGGACTCTCTTCAGTGGCTGGAGATCGAATCGGCGCTGCAGAGGCTGCGGGCAGCTTTGCAACACAGCGCTCAACCGCTGCACCACTTGGGAGGCCCAGAAGCAACTTCTTGACTTGATGTTACCCAGTAACAGAATTTGAATTTGATTCAGGTATGCACCCCTGTGACAATACTAATGAGGAAGTCTATCATGGTCTCTCCTCTCCCTTTCCTTTGTTTTAAGCAAAGACAAATGCAATTTCTGGCAAGTGTGGGGTGGGAGCTGTTCTTCTCTATGGAAAAAAATGTTTTTGTTTTTTTTCCTCTCAAAACTATCATCTTTAAATGCTTAAATCAACCAATCCCAGAACTGGCCTCCTTCCCATATAGGTTCTATATACCTCCATCTTCCCCTCCCTCTGAAATGGGGTTTAAATTTAGTAAGATTAAAAAGAAAAGTAAGATAGGTAGCAAGGTATAACATTGGAAAGGTGAAAGGGTACAAAGGGAGGGAGGAAGAGAGGAATGGACACTCTCCTAACAAAACAATGGAAGGGAATTATACTTTAATAAGGTAAGAAAAGTAAGAAAAGGACTTATGTCTTGTTGCTTATTTAAAGGTTAGAGGGCCCTGAAGTTCTCCTACCCTATTCCAACTTCCATTTTATGAAGGAGAAACTATTATAGATGTAAACATTTGGCTAAGATCCAGAGAGAGGATTTCAAAGGTTAAGAAACTGGGAGCAGGGGAGAGGACAAGAGAACAAAACTAAAGAAAAGATGTTCCTGGGCTTCCTCAGTGGCGCAGCAGGTTGAGCAGAGTGCTGTGAAGCTGTCTGCAGCCTCCACGTGTGGGTTCCATCCTCGGCCAGTGGCGAGAATCCCACATGGCATAGCAGACTTCTCCTATTGTGCCTGCTGCTCCCCTCAGCAGTGTATTTAGGTCCTCTGCCTGTTCTGCTCCCCGCTCTGTATCTGGTGAATCCTCTCACCTCCTGCACCTCTGGCCTATATCCCAGCTCTTGTATTAAAATAAATAAATCTTAAAAAAAAAAAGTTCCTGACATACAGAAGTAGTAGTTACTACTTATTGAAGATTACCAGAGGCTAAACAGTATTCTATGCACTTTACTTGTTTTCATTTAATCCTCACAGTCACAATGTAAAGATGCTCCTAACTCTCCCTATTTTAAAACTCAGATAAGGGAAGCTGCCCAAGATTACACAGGTAATTTTGAGGTGAAGTTAGCATTTAAGCACTGGCAGCCTTACCCAAAGTAAATGCATATATTTATCTACTCTTTATCCTCAAAAATCTAAATAGTTTATGCAAAGAAAAGCATGGCTGCTCATTTGTCTAGTTTCTATCAAATCACCAGACTTAGCATTTAGATATGCATTGGTCCAATATGAGGTCCAATGTGTCTGAATTGAGATGTGCTGTAAGTGTACAATACAAAGCAGATTGAGGAGATTTAATCTGAAAAAATAATGTAAAACATGCCACTACTATTTTTATATTAATGTCATGTTGAAATGGTAATATTTTGGAAATACTGGGTTAAATTAAATATAATGTAAAAATTAATTTCATCTGTTTCTCTTTTCGATGTGGCTACCAGAAACTTAAATGACAAATATGGCTCACATTATTCCTATTGGAAAGTGCTGATTTAGACAATGCCTTAATAACTGATAAGAATTCAAATATCTGATGAACACCAAAACACAAATTGTTGGCTCCTTTCTGTAGTACAATAAATGATATTTTTGGTGGAAGAATGCTTGATTACAGAAAATCTCCAATACATGTCAACATATTTTGAGAGATCAATTAATCCAAATATAGTTTAGCTAACTGTCCCTGAGATACAAAATATTTTAGAAATACCAGTAGCATTTCTTCAAGTTGTCAACCTCAATGGTTATAAAACAGTATATTTAACATTGAAATATTTTAATCCTCTACTCACTTTATTTATATGGTGAATATTTGCTTTTTCCCCTAAATTTATATGTTCTGTCTGAAATAAATTTTATATTTTTATAGACATCTGCTTCACTGTTACAAACATATCTGGTTGTCATGGGAATTACTGACATAGATTTGGACAAAAAAAGAAAATCTATTTGAAAAGACAATTTTTCACTGGCTATTTTAATATCATTTGTAATAATTTAGAAGTGTATACCTTTAACATTATACCTTAGTTTTCAACTTTTTTTCAAAAATGTCAAAATCTGTCTTCGCTGACAAAAGCATGTCTAATCAGGATCAGGTTGCTTCCAATTCTAAGTTAATACTGACCCCTATAGGTTATTATGTCCTAATCTATATTTCTGGCATACTCCTACAGAACATATGGTGAAATATTTGAAAATGTTTACATTTAGGATTTAATTAATTAATTACTTTCTCTCCTTGTATTCTACAACATGAACTTTGCACAAAACTTATTCATACTTTAATACAATTTATTTTGAGGGTCTATGATATTATACTCCACATTAGTTTGTCTTGGTCTAATTATAGTAGGGGAATTAAGGAGCATAATTTCTAATTTATGGCTAACTTGATTGTTTTCATAAAAATATATTCTCATAATATTTCATTTATATAATCCATTGAGAAATTAACTTTTAAATTGTTTAGAGATGTGTGTAAATGCAGGAAGGACTTGGGACCAAAGGTAAATCTGATTTCAGCTAACCTTGGTGGACAAAGTGATTCTAGGTTAAAAGAGAATTTTTAATGTAATGTGCAGATTAGAAGTATTTCTGTGTGGATATGGATTAGGAATTTAGGGAGGGCAAAAGGTTACAGACTCCTGAGTTCTGGGCACACACATTTCCAGCAACAGGTAGTAAGGAAGGAACCTCTTGTTGAAAACTACTAGATACTACAGAAAGCAGCATAGCAGCAGCAACCAATATACCAGGGAAACTGTCATGATGATAAATGGCAAGAGGAACTCCATACACCCCCTACATGAACCACTGAACTGGTATCTTCCCAGTTCATACTTTGCAGAGATACTAGAAAAAGATCTAGCATCTCTGCTTAAGAAAAGTTAAAACCACTTAAGAAAAGAGTTAAAACTATACCAATTTTCAGGAAACAATACTGGAGCATTTCAGGACTAAGCTTGAGAAATTTCCAAAAGCTAAAATGCTATGAAATCCAGGTTTTTTGATTCCGTATTACTCTATAATAATAAGCCTTGATTGAAAAAAAAAAAAAGTAGGGCATAAATATGTGTTATAATGAATTTTTAAAAATAATCTTTTATTACTCACACCTCTTCTGGAGGAACACTATCAGTCATGAATATGTTGTATGAGTTCAATATGAAGCTTGAGCTAGCTATTCCTGTTTGTTGTAAACTTTTATTTTAAAATAATCGGAGGCCTCCCAGGTGGTGTAGCAGGTTGAGCACAGTGCCGTGAAGCTGTGTGCAGCCTCTGCAGCGCAGGTAGGTTTGATTCCCAGTCGGCCAGGGAGATTCCCACATGGCATGGCAGACCTCTCCTATAGTGCCCACTGCTCCCCTCAGCAGTGTATTTTGGTTGTGGGCCTGTTCTGCTCCCTGCTCTGTCTCTGGTGAATCCTCTCACCCTTCCATGCCAATGGCCTGTACCCCAGCTCTTGTATAAAAATAAATAAATCATTAAAAATAAATAAAATAATCAGAGAATTAGGCATAACAGGATTGACTTTTTAACAACCAGACAGTAATTTCCAGAGTAGTATAAAGCAGAGAAAAGTTATGATCCTTCTTTTGACAACTCAGGAATGGATGCCATAGAAAACAGAAAGCTAAGTACTTCCTTTTATACTGAAGTTATGGGATTAGTGCCAAGAAGATAAGTTCTAAAACCAAAATTATTACTTGGGACATTGAGTCATAATAGTTAAACGAATGCCACTCAATAAGCCTGTATTAAATTCTGGGAATGTTACTCATGGGAACTATATAGGCCTATTTTTTATGAATTTTTATTCATAAAAATATGAATGATTAAAATTTTTATTGTTACAGGACAGTGTGGTAACCCTGTCTTACATTTTCCTTGGACTAAAATGTTCACAACTTCCTCTATTGGATACTTTAATTTTTTGTTGATCCACATGGGAAAATGAACCCAAGCTACTTTCTGAGGAAAACCTTAAGCCTTCCTACATAGTATTCCAAAATTTTCTGAGGATACTACTGTGCATGTCTATTCTAATTTGTGTCTTGGTCTAACTTTTGAAATTCCCTAAGAGGCTATTAATTTTTCATAACATTAATTTGAATGCTAAATTTTACGTCCCATCCTTCATTTGCAAATAGTGTACTCTGATCCTTGCCAAAGAAGATAACCTTAACCTCTTTAAGGCCAATGCACTGATCAAAGGCTGTTATGAAAAAAGATATTTTAGGAGTATTGCCAGAGGGTTATGCGGTTCATCCTTTCTTCATCAGTATTTCTAAACTACACTAGCATGTTTCAAGGAAAAGAAAAAAAGGCTTTTCAAAGTCAACTTTTAAGTTTAGAAAACGTAAGGGCCATGAATTCTTATACTTCAAAACATTAATTTTCAGCATTAATCACAAAAATATAAAATGCAACGCCACCCAAAACTACTTGAAATCTTTCATGAGATAGTTCCCCCCCAAAAAAATTATTATATTATTATTAGAAACATATTCTGATGCTTTTAGATATTATCCACTCAAAATATTATGAGGTTGGTCCTTGAACCCGGTCACATCATGAGATAACAGATTAATAGTTTCTTACTCCCTTTGGTTCCACATTAAGGTCTGTAACTCTCATCACTTCCTTTTTCCATATCTTCCACTATAACTGCAAAGTAAGTTACTTTAACTTTTGTATCTCATGAGCTCATGATTTCAATTTGGCATTTTAAAGTAGTGAGAGGTAACATTTCAAACCTCAAATTCAACCTGTTCACATTAAATCCATTATCTTCATCTAGTCCTATTGTTACAGGGCAGAGAGAGGGGCAGCCCAAACCCCGCAAACCTGCCTATTCTAAATGGGTTCTGTCATCCGCCGCATTAACACAAAACATATGAGACTTTAATGGGAAGGAACTTTAATACAATTTGGAAACAATACAGGAAAGGAAAAGAATCTAGTTTCTAAATCAAGAACCCAACGTTACCCATCCCCTCCTGGGTAAAACTCCATCCAAATGGGATTGGCCCAGAGCAAGGCCCCAAAGCCTGCCGCAAGTCCAAAGCATCTTCCAGTGGGGACCCACAGAAAAGGGTCAGAAACAACCAGACAAGTCTGGAAGGAAAAGAGCAAAATCAACATCAAGATAAAAGCTGCCATTGTCACTTCCCCTCGGGTCTCTCACCCACATCTGTGTCACCCAGTCCGTGACCAAAAGAGAAGCGCAGTTTCTTCTCGTATCTCTAGGCTCCATGCACCTCCTCCAGGTCTCCTGGCTCCATCCTGCTTCCTTCCTTCCTCAGTCTCCTCTGCAGCCTCTTCTCGCCCTGCTCAGCTCCACCCTCCCTTGGGTGGGGCAGGGAACCTGGAACCTCCCCCTTTCCTGGGGACCACCCTGTTACACTCTCCCTTCCTTTTTATTACTATCCGTTAGTGCTCACAATTCTCCCAGATCCCTAGGTGTTACCGCTCCTTCATTAGTTTGCAGATTTCACCAAAAAACTTTCATATTATTAGTTACTGTAATAACTATTCCTAGTTATTACTCGTCCTCCAGAATTTCTGCAGGGACAAATTACAATAATCAAGAACTGGGACTTTTATATGACTATATTCTCCAAGGATGTTCATTATCACCTAAACAGGGTTCCAAATGTCCCAACAGCTTGTGACATTCAACAAAGCATGTTTGAGTTTTTATAATGAGTGGGTCTTCACATGGAACTAATGAAAAACTTATTGTGCAAACTTTTTTAAACATCTCAATAGGACAAGAAATTAAAATGTGCTAAGAAATTCAAGTGATAAAAAAGCCTCTTTCACTCAAATGTGTATGAAAATATTTCAATAAAGCTTGCTGAGAAAGTTAAAGGGTGGGGGGGGGAGACGCAAAAGTGGAAAAATGAGCAAAAATGAGGCAGGACGAAGAATACCAAGAAAGAAAAAGCAATTTCCGCAAAAGGCTTAAGAGCAGTTCCCATGATACAGGAGGGCAAAACATCAACCACCACCTACACGCTATCCTCTACTAACACCCCAATTCAAATAAGTAGTAATAAATGTGTGTTTGTCTCACAGCGTTTTCTTAATTTGGCAAACTACGGTCAGTCCCGCATTAGCCAGGCGCTTTCAACACGCAGTATTTGAAGATTCCTTCCCGGGAACTGGCGTCCCGCGGGCGCGCATGCGCAGCCTCAGCGCGACCCCACCCGCGCCTCCTGCGCCGGGTCTGAGAGGAAGTTACGCAAGGCGGAGGGGCGGGGTGGGCTCTGCACCGGAAGAGGCTCCCGGATAGTAAATAAGCCCCGAAAGGCGGTGTCTCCATCTTGTCAGTGTCAGTGTCTAGCGACATTGAGACGATGGGGAGCGTCCTGGGACTGTGCTCCATGGCGAGCTGGGTGAGTGGGTTTTGGCCTCCTTCGGGGGTGCTGGTGTAAGAGGGGAAAGGAAAAGAGATCCGGGAAGAGCTGGGAGTCCCGGCTGGAACGGTGTACCCCACCCAAAGTGGCGCCTGCCGTCCTCATTTTCTCTGCATCCCCTCTGGTCTCTGCGACTGAGCTTGTGGGCACTGAGTCCTGCAAAATGCTGACCGGGATGGCCATGAATAGCGGTGGGGAGGGGAGGATGACCCCGATGGGAGGAGTGAAGGAGAAAGCTGGCGTCTCCCTCCCCCACCCATCTTTTGTCAAAACTGCTCTCGGGTCTTCCCTGCCCCTTTTTGTTGTTTTTCTCTGTGTCTGCCTCACCACTATTTCAAGGGTCGTAAGGCCCCCTTTTTTTTTCCCGTAGGGTACCCCATCTCTTCCCAGCGACCTCACACTGCAGCGTGGCCTTCCTGAGTGTGTGTATGTCGGCCTCTTTGTTCTGTCGCGCAGAACAGTTAAGAAGTGCCCGTTATTTAGGACAGCCTGGCAATAATCTTGATGTAATAATATCGTTTTGAAATAAATAGTCCTAACTCTGGGACCTTAATAAGTAGAGAAAATTACTCTAATGCTCATATTTTATCGCTCGAGAAAAGCTGGTCAGTTCTGTGGTATTAAATTTCTTGGGATTTTTTTTACTTTAAATAAAACATGCTTTTGTAATCTGAAATTTCATGTTTAGTTAGGGGCACGTTGCATTTGATCTTCAGTATAAGATAACCGTGCCCCCCCTTCCCCCTACCCTCCCCATGAAATAACTACCTTTGCAGTTAATAAAGGTATTTGTAATTTGGCACAAGATATATGGATTCAAAATATTTCTTTAATCCATGCTTTTGAAATTCCAGTTTTAACGATTTCTTGTCTGACTTTCCAGGTGACTCCGTTGTTACCTTGGCCAGCATTTTGATTATTTTACATACCTCACTTCTTTTAAAGTTCTTGATATGGGCTTTACTATAAATATCCAACATTAATACGTGAATGTTGTTACTTCAACCTTAGCCATTCTCTCGGTTGTTATTTTTCCCTCTTGCAGTTAGGCGAGGAATCTGACATAATTTTATCTCAATAAGAAATTACTTGAATCTGTTGACTTATATAGTTGAAAAAAAAAACATGTTTAGCGCAATAATTCTATTATAATTACAAAGAAAAGATGGTTTTCTTTGGGTTTTCTAAAATGTCATGTATTGATTTATAAAGTTAGATTTTGTCCAGTTCTCAAAAGGACATGTTATTTGTATATAGTAAAGATTTTAAAAGGGAGGGATACATAGTCTACATTTTATTCTCCAGATCAGTCAGAAACAGGAACAAGCCGTCTTTGCCTCAAGGACAATTATTATTTTTAGAAAAGTTTTAAGGATATTTAAAAATATTTTTTTAAATCAGAAAGAAAATAGTTTTAAGACTATGGAAAAGTTTTTATTCCTACGAATTAATGTTTTTACAGCTTAGTTTCACGCCGTTACTAAGTAGAAAAATGAGGGAGTTAAAACTGACACTGCCTTTTAGTCACTCTTAATGTTGAGGTAATTTGGAAAGGTGAGGCAGTTTTCTTAACTTCCAGTTTTTAGATCACTAGATCACTGGCAGAGAGACTTGGTGAGCAAGGTTGCTCATCATAGTTCTAGATTATTGTGGCAAGTCTAGGAATTGATCCTATAGTATGCAATTCTGGTCATCATTTTCCCTTTCCTTTTCTTTATTCCTAAATTGTAAAATTTTGGTGCAGTTCTTTATCAGTTGAAGGGGAATTTGCCTTGAAGTATGGAAATCCATTTCTTCCACAGCCTTTACAGTCAGCTAGCTCATTTACTTGGAGTTTTTGACATATTTGAAGTACATTCAAATATTAAAAAGTATTCAGATTATTAAATTTAATCAGTTGGGCTAAAATTAAAAGAAACTACATTTTTCCTTTGTTCACATTTCTTCAGGCCTAATTTTTGCTGAAATTTTTTCCTGAAAGCTTAGCTTTTTCCTCGCTGATAAAAAACTAGAAAATTTCTGAACTATGAAAAAAACATAAAAGGGGAAAAAAATTCATATCTTCAGTAGTACTAATGTATAAAGATTGGACTGTTAGATTTTTTTATTTTGTTTTATTTTTGCTTTTTTTTTTTTTTAAAGATTTATTTATTTATACAAGCACTGGGTACAGTCAGAAGCGCGGGAGGGTGAGAGAATTCACCAGAGCCAGAGCAGAGAACAGAGCAGGCAGAAGGACTGAAGTACACAGCTGAGGGGAGCAGCGGGCTGCAGGAGAGGTCTGCGTGCCATGTGGGACCCTCCTCCGGTGGCCGGGGAGCAGCAGGGGAGCAGCCGGGGATTGAACCGGCGCTGCAGAGGCTGTGGGCAGCTTCACAACCCATGTATGGACCGCCCCAGCTAATCCTTTAACTACAACATTACTAGTAATTTTTGCCTACTTAAGTGCTTTTCCCCAGCCCTATCTCAACAATGGTGTTAATGAATAGAATTGATTTTTTGGACTGGACCTTGTTTACAATAGCTATCATTTTTTTGCACAAGATATTTAATGTAGCTAAGTAAGTAGTTAAGAGTGATTAACTGCCTGTTTTTGTGCCAACCTGTTAGATTTTTTTTATTTTTCAGTACAACGACTTGTTTTTGTAGAAATGATTCATAGTTGCTATGAATAGTCAAGCAATGTAGAATACAAAGTTAAAATACCACAAAAAAATCCCACCACCAATAACGTTCCTTCACTTTCAGTGGATATATATATTGGATGTGTGTGCATGTATGACATACACACACGCAAATGGATGAATAGACAAAAATCTTTCTATGAATGGCAGCATGCTGAACAAGTATTTTCAAATAAAACATTAACTCTCATTTCCTGAATTTAATAAAAGGAAAATGAAAATAGAGTAGTTGCTGAATGCTTAACTAAACATTTCTTATCAGGAGTGTTTCCTAAAGAGATTCCTCTAAGGAGATGGTTCCACAGCAATGGTTCTCCACTAGCTACAGTTTTGCCACAACTACCCCCCACCCCCAAGGGACATTTGGCAATGTCTCCCGACATTTCTCTGTGTCTCAGTTTGGGTGCTAATGCTCCTAGTAGGTTCAGGACAGGGATACTGCTAAACATTCTGCAATACAGAGGACAGCCCCCAACAACAGAGAATTATATGCTCCAGAATGTCAGTAGGCCCTGGTTGAGAAACCCTGCTTTATAATCTTCATTGTATGTCTCCATTAATTTCCCATGTCTTTTATACCCTTTCATTGTGAAATTACCTTTCTTATCTCATTATGATTCTTTGCTCTGATATCAACTTTGATGTTACTGTAGCATGGTATGTACTTTTCTTGTTTGTATGTCTTCATATTGGGTTTCTTGTAGAAAAGGTAGTTGGATCTTATTTCTTTGATTTGGCATGACAAATTTCTGCCTTTTAATTGGAAGTATTTTGCCATTTACATTCAGTGTCGGCATTGACTGTGTTTGAGCTTAACTCAGCCATTTTTCTGTTTGCCCAGCCTATTCATTATTTCTTTTCCCTGAGTTTTCTTTGCCTTATTTTGGATTTAACTGACCATTTTTTTAGTACTGTTTTATCTCCTTGAACTTACTAGTTGTATACTTACTTGTTTTTCTTTTTAGAAGTGACTCTAGGGCTTATATTATTTATCTTTAACTTTTTATAATTTACTGTCATACCACATCACACCATTTCATTTCTAATTTAAGAACCTTACAGTAGTATAATTGTCTCCTCTTCAAGCCTCTTTGCAATTGTCATACATTTTACTTCTACCTTTGTTTTAAACTTCCACAATATATTATTTTGCTTTAAGATAATCTTTTAAAGTAGCTTCCTTTTTTTAATTAAAAACATTTTCAATTGTAGTAAAACTTACAAAAAACATTTTTCAATTTTTTAATTTATACATAACACGAATTTGCCATCCTGTGTTTATGCATATGGTCCTGTGGCATTAAGGACATTTACATTATTATCTGGTAGTTAAATGTCTAAAATCTATATACTGCCGTAATTTTTGAAATATATTTTCGCAGTATAAAATTATCTGTTTACAAGGATTTTTTGGTTATTGTTCAGTATTGACTTTTGAGTGACAATTCTTTTTACTAGTAATTTGTTATCTTTCTTTGTGTTTCTGTATATAATGTGCTTTTACTTTTCTGTGTGCTTTTAAAATTTATCATTGTTTTTAAGAAATTTGATTATGATGTGATTAACTGTATTTCCATAAAAGAACTGATTTTTTCTCCTCCTTCAAGAGTTCCAGTTTCACTATATTTGACTGCTTAATCTTGTCTCACAACATTGATCCTCTTTCCATTTCTTCTTCTGGTCTTTATCTCTTTTTCATTTTGGATCATTTCTTTTCCTTTGTTTTCAGATTCATTAATCTTTTCTGCACTGTTCTATTTTTTGGTTCAGGTATTTACTTTCCACTTATAGAAGTTTGATATGGATCTTTCAGATTATTTTCCGTGCCTTTCCTGAACATGTTTTTTTTCCCCTTCCTTTTCAAGCATGTGAATTGTAGTTACAATATTCAATGCTATTATTTATAAATTAATTCAGTATTCTGTGTTACTTTCAGGTTGGTTTTGATTGATAGTTCTCTTCATTATTGATTGTATTTTCCTGCTTCTTTGCATACCTACTAATTTTTTATTAGATATCAGACATTGTAAATTTTATCTTGATAATATACTTAGTTGTTTTTTTTTAAAAGTTTGGGCTTTGTTCTTAAGCATATATAAGTTAAAAAAATTTCATCTTTTTGATGTTTGTTTTTAGGCTTTTGTTAAGTGAGACTGGAAGAGTCTTGTCTAATTTTTCTTCACTATATACTAATAGCCTTAAACTCTTCTTTGTCTAATGAATTATGTTTTTTCATCCTGACTGTGGTAATACTAGCTCCTGTCCGTCTGCTTGGGTCAAAATTTTCACAAATGCATGCACTCCTCACTGCTTTGTTGAAGACTCAGGTTGGAGCCTCTGCAGATCGTTAGAGTTCATTCTCTGTAATTATTACCTCTCCATAATTATACCTTATGGATTCTGTCTTCGCTTCATTGAGCACACAACTCTGTCCGAACTCCCACCTTTGTCGCCTGTCTCCGGTAGGCTGTTCACCTTTGCCTGGATGGATGGTCCTCTTCCCAGCACTGGGAACTCCCAAGCCACAAAGATGGGCCATAGAGGAAACAACATTGTTTCCTCGCTCAGAAATTACTATCTTGCGTTTTCTGCTGTTAATTCTCTGAAAAAAATATTGCTTTGCTCTTTTCTTTTTTTTTTTTTCATTTGATAAAGGCAGTAGTAAGTCTGGTCAATGTTACTTCATTTTGATCTGAGTTTATAGTAATTATCCCACACTTCCTCATCATTAGGTTTACTTTCAACTGTGTCTGATTTGTTGCTTGATAGTTAATTATTAGTTCTTTAAGTTTGCTTCCCACCTTCTCATTTGATTCTGCATTTGCCATTTCCATTTTGTTACGTTATGTTCTTTTCCCATTACTTTTTTTTATATTTTTTTTTGCTTGTTGATATTTTTCTACATCTCAAGTGGAATTACTTTTAGAGAACTTCTTTTTCTTACTAAATAATGTTCTGTTTCAGACTGGATTCTTCAAGGGCCTTTTTTTGGGGGGGGTCTCAGGGGAGCCTGCTTATTTATTTTCACTTTTTGCTTGAGCATATTTTCATAGTTATGACATTTCTATCTTACTGAAGCTTAAGTGGCTCTGTCCCTACATTATATTGTGTCTGGCTTTTACAATACAGTAAGTCCTTCATGTCAGTGGGTTCTTGGAAACTATAATTTAAGTGAAACAACATATAATGAAAGCAGGTCCTTTGTTGTTTGTTTCAGCATTGGTCAGGGATTATTTTTTCTCATTAATGTTATGACACGGAACAAAAATGATCGTTATTCAAGGACATGTTGTACTCCCTTCCCGTGGTTTCTGATACTGTTTTCCTCCAGAGCTATTGCTATAGGACTGGACTATCCTAATCTGTCACGTTTTCTGAAGTCGATGGTATAGTGGCTGTGAGCCCAAGGTTATGGTCAGTCCTTACAAGAATACTTAACACTTTGCCTTTCTGATACTGTTACATGCCCTTATTGCTGCTCACCTCCCCTAGTAAGGGGGACAGATCTTCTTCACCTGGGATATACTACAAGTTTAGTGTGACTTTACATTGAAGATGCAAAGAGTTATTCATTTATCTGTTTGCCTAATTCCAATAATAATTTTTATTATCATTTCTGTGAAGTCAGAAGAAGGGAAAGATAAGTATACCATTTCACTTCTTTTCCCCTTCTGGGTATTTGAGGATTCTCAGAATTTGTGACTTCAACACAGTGATTTTTGGGGGGCTAAAAAGCAAGAGCTGGAGATGGGCTTGTAATCATGAATATTCCTTTTTTTTTTTTTTAACTACACTTTGGTTGCTACTGGAGATTTTTTCACCTTTGTTGTTTTAGTTTTGTTCCTTTTGCTCCATATAGAGGGCAAGCATTTTTTTGTTTGTTTTTTTTTTTTGTTTTACTTCACCCAGAAGTTTCTGGTTTTGATTTTTAGTTTATAAATTATGTATGTCAACCATATATTTTGTCTCTTGGTAATTATTTCTGTCCTTTTTTGAATGTGTAGAATGTAAATTTTCACTCTATCATTTTGAACTATGTTGATTTTAATAACATTTTAATAATAAAATTTTAAAATAATAAAGCAATAACATGTTAATACTATTTTCCCCAGATACCGTGCTTGTGTGGCAGTGCCCCATGCTTGCTGTGCCGATGCTGTCCTAGCGGAAACAATTCCACTGTAACTAGGTTGATCTATGCACTTTTCTTGCTGGTTGGCGTTTGTGTAGCTTGTATAATGTTGATACCAGGAATGGAAGAACAACTGAATAAGGTTAGTCTTCTTTTTTAATTCATTAACAGAACCTATAATATGTTTATGCTGAAATTGATATTTTTTTTTTTGGAACTCAAAAAGTGTACAAATCCCAATTTTAGTAGGTCTTAATCTTCTGGGACAATATAAGTCTGCTTGTTCAATTCTCTGGTAGTGAATTTTCTGATGTGCTATGGTCATAAGAGGAAATGAAGTAATTCTAGTAAGTGTCTGAATCTCGGTGGGTATCATTAAAAAAATGGACATTTCAACCACTATGGAAAGCTGTATAGAGGTCTCTCAGTCTACTAAAAATGGAGCTACCATATGATCCAGCAATTCCACTATTTGGGATCTCTGCAGAGGACACAAAAACATTGATTCAAAAGAATACCTTACCCAGGGCCTCCCTGGTGGCATAGGCGGTTGAGCGCCGCACTGTGAAGCTGTCTGCAGCCTCTGCAGCGCTGGTTCGATCACAGCCAGCTGGCGAGGGTCCCACGTGGCGCGGCAGACCTCTCCTGTCTCGCCCGCTGCTCCCCTCAGCAGTGTATTCCGTCAGTCTGCCTGTTCTGTTCCCCACTCTGTCTCTGGTGAATCCTCTCACCTTCCCGCACATCTGGCCTATACCCCAGTTCTTGTATAAATAAATAAATTTAAAAAAAAATTTTTTTGTGCTCTGATTCCAGTGTAACAGCCTTTTTCCAGATTCTAAGTTATGCCAGCTATTATGCGGAAAAGCTAAATTCACATTATCAGAAATAACAGAATAAAGGACCAAAATTTAAAGTAGCATTGACCTTGAAAAACCATCATTTTCTTTAGTATCTAGAAACTTACTTAGTTACTCTGTAACTCCTTAAAATTTTGATTGCATTTGTCCCTTTTTTGTTATACTTGTAATTCAGTATATCACAGTGGAATGCAAGTTTTAAGAATCTCATTTTAAGTCTGTCTCAATAAGCACTGACATTTAGATTGACATTTGTAGTTTACCCTATATTCCCATAAACTTCCATCTGATGAAAATGTTTCAGACTTACCTTGATTACATATTTAGCATAAACAGTAAAACAAACCTCAGTTTTATAAACATGTACTTAAAAATTATTTAATTACACAGAATTTTCATTTTTACTTGAAAAAATTGTCAACCACAAACTCTTGTTTTTTAGATCCCTGGATTTTGCGAGAATGAAAAAGGTGTTGTCCCTTGTAATATTCTGGTTGGCTACAAAGCTGTATACCGTTTGTGCTTTGGTTTGGCTATGTTCTATCTTCTCCTGTCTCTGCTAATGATCAAAGTGAAGAGTAGCAGTGATCCCAGAGCTGCAGTGCATAATGGGTAAGTTTTTGAATAAATTTGAAAATGAAAGTTTGGTAGTCTTTTCTTCAGTTTTTTCTAAATAAATTTTAATGTACAACAAACACACAATTTGCAGAATTATTTTATTATTCATGTTTGACAAAGGAAGAAAATCCTTTTGCCCCTACTAGAGAATATCATACTTGGAAACGTATTAAATGTAGTTTTGGGTCATTTTTTATTATAATACCTGAGGCATAATGTTGTACATATTTTAATCCTGAAAGGAGGATATACCGTATCTGTGACTAATAATGAGTAGCTTTTTTCCTCCTCCTTTTAGCATTTGTAGTCCAGTCTCACCACATAAAACTGAATTCATTAATTAGCAGTGTAGTCAAAATGAAAAGGGTGATAGATTTTCTAAATGGTTGGTTGTACAGGACATTATAGAAAGAAAATTCATTGTCCCTTTAACCAGTCTTCCTTAATTTAGAGCTCCACTTTTTTACTCAATATGAACCTTTTGTATTTGTCTTTGTATTTTTTCCATAAATTAAAACTTTTTTGACTGTTTATGCTATTGCTTATTCACTAACATGTTGCCAAAGACGAATGAATGATAAAGTGAAATGTAAATATTAATGAAAATGTATGATAGATTGATTTTACTGCATTTTATTCCCTTATTAGTTGCTTTTAAAAATAACTTAGTATTTTTATAACCATCTTTACTGTATTTTAAAATATTTCTCAAAAATGCATCACAGAATGGCTGTCACAACCATTACTGAGATAGCACTCAATTCAGAGTAGTATGTACAGAACTATCTTTGACATGTGTGTATTGTGTTTTTTATTGAGATATAATTGACATAAAATTATGTAGACCTAAGTTGTACAGTGTTGATTTCATTTGATTTTCTTTTTTAATTTCTTCTATGATCCCTTGGTTTTTCAGGAGTGTTGTTAATTTTCTACTCAATTATATGAACTTTCCAATTTTCCTCTTGATTTCTATTTTCATTCTTTTGTGGTCAGAAAAGATGATATAATTTCTCTCTTCTTAAATCTTAAGTCTGCTAAAATTCATTTTGTGTCCTGTGTCCTGGAAAATATTCCATGGGCACTTGAGAATTTGCTGCTGTCATCAGATAATGTTCTTATAAATGTCTTAGGCACATTCTGCTAATATATAGTTTTAGTCCAGTGTTCTTGATTTTGTGTCTAGATGATGAGTTTTTTTATGTTAGAAGTAGGGAATGATTTCCACTACTATTTATTGTGGTGTTGTGTATTTTTCCTTCAGATCTGCTGCTTAATATATTTCAGTGCTCTAGAGTTGGCTAGGTAGATCTATACAACTATTAAAAATATTCTTGAATTATATTGACTCCTATGTCATTTTATAATAATCTCCTTTCTCTTGTTACAGTTTTTGGCTTAAGTCGATGCTGACAAAATATCATCAAACTAGTAAAGATGCCATGATTCACTTGTGTGCTAAGTTATTCAAATGCCCCACCTGCGTAGTCTAGTTGGCAGCAATTGTGATATGAATATTAAACTGTAAAGTGATTTATATTTTAATAGGAAGGACTCATCTGAAAGCAATTAGGTAGTGTAGTGAACCAGTTGTAAGATGGGAGTCTGCTGTATTTGAATCCCATAGGCTATGGAAGCTCTCTTTACTTTTTTTCAATGTTTACCCTATTTAGTTATCTCAAAGTTCATCCTCTTACTTCATATTCTGTCTTGCATTTGATCTGCAGTGCTGTACATACGTTCTCTATGTATTGAATTCTTTCTTTTACTGAATTCTTCAGTTTGAGAATTTTTTTTTATTTCTGTCTCTGCCAAATATCTCATTTTCTTCAGGTATTTTTCCCTGGGGGCGGGGTGTGTGTGTGTGTGTGTGCGTGTGCGTGTGTACTTCTATTTTACTGAGTTTCCTCAAAACAATTATTAAGAACTTACCCACTGGATCTCAAAATTCCATGCCTTTGAACTCATATATTTAAGGTTTATTCTCTTTTGAAATATTTTCTTGATTATTCATGTTCCTTGTAGTTTTGTGTTGTTACTTTCACATTTGAATGAGCAGATAGCTCAACTTTATTAGCTGTCTTTAGGTAAAATATGCTGTTCATTCACCCCATTATCTCTTGGGTTCTCTCTGACCTTATATTTATATACCTGCTTCATTTTCTTTGCTCCCTTTTGTGGCAGAATTCTTAATATTTATGTCTTCTCTGGATGTCTTCTCTGGCTAACTGCTAGAAATTTTGCATTTTCCATAAGGTTGCACTATAGGTCAAATTTGTGATTTCTCTCTTGTTCCATATATCTTGGTCTGTTTTTCTCTTGAGCACTCCCATTACTGGATCCTCTTTTCCCTGTCCTGTGCTGTCAGTAGGAACCCCGTTTATTGCTCTTTGATAATTCTTATCTGCCACTTTACTGATCTCCTCCTCAGTGATGGAAGACCTGCCTCAATACTATTGGTGCTGCTGGAGAAAAGTGGTTTTCTCCAGAATTGTCCTGAAAAGGTGGGGTAGCCAATAATGCACTGCTCTCCTTTTCCTCCAAAGGAGATTTTGCTGCCAGATAATACTCATGCTATGTAGCCTAGGTGCAGGGGCAGCACTGCAAAGCACTTCTTCCCCTCTTCGTTCCATGAAAACTTCTATTTCTGTTTTTTGTTTTTCTCACGTGGTGTGCTTAATTCCCCTCAGGAGGATTGGACTTTTGCAAATTGTCTCTCATCTGTGTATATTTGTCCAAGTTAGCACTTCACTAATTTTGGGAGGAGAAATGGGGCAAGTTTGCTAGATTAACAACCCATACCCAAGGGCTGTTTGCTTATTACTATGTGTACAGGTGGGCCTCTTGGCATATATTGCTGGATACCAGTTCCCAAGAGACACTTGCTCGTGAATGGATACTTAATTAGTTGTTGAAAAGGGAGAAAAATAGGGCCTTCTTAGGCCATCATGATAATGGCATCCTAAAAGTTGGTGATTTAAAATTACAAGTTATGGGTGGAGCATTTATCAGGTTTTTAAGAACTGCTCATCTGTATAATGCAACTTACATTATCACACATTATGCCACTAAATTTGTAAAATAAATCAGTGAAATGGAACTAATATTGCCACTTTATCCTAATTAATTAGAATTGTTCTAAAGCAAGTTTACATAAGTCTTCACTTGTCATTGTCAGGATGTCCTCAGACACATATGAAGTAGCTATTTTTTAGGATTATCTGAAAAGATTTCATATACAAAACTGTTGAATGAATGTTTATATTCAAATTGCATTTTTTTGTTTTAGATTCTGGTTCTTTAAATTTGCTGCAGCAATTGCAATTATTATTGGGGCTTTCTTCATTCCAGAAGGAACCTTTACAACTGGTAAGAAATCCTTTTTTTCAAAACTGATATTTTTATAAAGAAATTAAATACTGCCTGCCACTACATAGCTCTACCTAGTGTTTTGTTTTTATTTTCCGTTGTCTTTTGTGATTATGAAAATGAAATTATAAAAACAGGGCCAGCCACTCATTATATACTTTTTCCTTTCAGTGTGGTTTTATGTAGGCATGGCAGGTGCCTTTTGCTTCATCCTCATACAGCTAGTTTTACTTATTGATTTTGCACATTCATGGAATGAATCATGGGTTGAAAAAATGGAAGAAGGGAACTCAAGGTGCTGGTATGCAGGTAAGCTTTTGTTTTGCAGCACATCTTAAGATAGTTGAATCTTGAAGGTGTTGATGCTAAAAGCATACCATGTAGACTAGGAAATCAGAATTTTTATGGTGTAATTTTCTGAAAAGAGGTTTTTAGTTTAAAAGGACATGGCATTCTATCAAAATTGTATTAGCAACTTCTTGAGAGATACCCAAGCACTAAGAAAGAATCCAAAAGACTTTGAATGGTTAAAGTAATGTTTCAAAGCATACTGGTAAAATTGGATAGCTACAATAAGTTAAAAGTAAAATATTATGGAATAAGAAAGCCAGAAATAATAGTTTATCATGAAGAAGAAAAAAATGAAATATAAAAATATATAAATATGAAAAATACAAAAGCAACTTGAACATTTTAGGTAAGTGCAATGGATGCTTTTATGTGTATGAGTAACGGGAATTCTTGTAGTATCATCGATGTTTACTTGTACTGATAAGCTTGAGCCCTCTGATTATACTTTCAAAACTGGGATCAGAATTCAAACACAGTAGGTAATGAGAGAGGGACAAGAACCAGGTTTAAGTGCATACGCTGACATTGTGCAAATGGTAGGACTATGATGAATTAGAAAAGGCCCTATGACATTGTGCAAATGGTAGGACTATGATGAATTAGAAAAGGCCCTATCTAAAGTACAAAACTACTGCCCAGTTATCTTCAGTGGATGTCATATGAAGCCAGTGTTGCTTGGTTTTCCTGATTTTTTTTCCTCATTAGAAGTCATAAATCTGGACTTTTTTGTGAAATGATTTTAGTTTGTTGAAAAAATGTTTTAGAGTGAAAGCTAAACCCAACATATATGCTGATTAAGGCTTTTCTCACAAAATTAGTTTCTGGAATTTGAGCTCAGTGGTCTTTAAACCACAGTTTAGTATTCAAAGAAATAAACTTTGTCATTTAGAAAATTCACACATATAAAATACCTCATTCTTTAATGCAAATTCTAATTAATGCATGGAGTTTCTGTTTTGTTCTTGGCATGTCCCCAGGGATAGGACTTTTAGGTATTCATTGTTTGTTGGATGGATCCCCTATCAGTGATGCAAATATACATATTTATACTGAGCACATGTTAACACAAACTAAAATGTCATGTTGAAATTTACATAGAAAAAAATTAACTTGTCTTAGTAAATAAAAGACTTACTTTTACATAATTTTAAAAAAGATATTAGTTGAGTAAAGCATTGTTTTGTGGTCATAGCATTAACTGAAAATTATGTATCTTAATATCTTTGTTTACAACTGAATGATTATAGGTCTTTAAAAACCTTAAGTAAAAGTGCCCTTCTGTTTATGTATTTTGAAAATGGCAAACGTGGATATTTTATAAACTGTGATTTATCAATAAAAATTACTATTTTAACTTACTGTTCTTGAAAATATATCATAGTGAGCTATGTGTAGAATATAAAATACTCCTTTGATAAACTTGATTTTTCTTCCCTGCATTTATAGTCTGCATAATGTTGACAATGTTAGTTGCTTAAAATATTTTTGAAACCATAATATTGTTTTAAAATGAGCCCTGTATTTAATTTCTAATATTTAGAATAAAATCTAATTGTCCAATTATGTTTCTTTCACAGCTTTGTTATCAGCTACTGCTCTGAATTATCTGCTATCTTTAGTTGCTATTGTCCTGTTCTTTGTCTACTATACCCATCCAGCAAGTTGTTCAGAAAATAAAGCATTCATCAGTGTCAACATGCTCCTTTGCCTTGGTGCTTCTGTGATGTCTATACTCCCCAAAATCCAAGTATGTCCTTTTATCATTAAATTTTGTGAAGCTTCTGTTTTTCTAAGTTTTTCCTATGTGTTGAAGATGTCAAAATATTTTTTTTGTTTGTTTTTTTGTTTTTTGTAGGAATCACAACCAAGATCTGGTTTGTTACAGTCTTCAGTAATTACAGTCTATACAATGTATTTGACATGGTCTGCTATGACCAATGAACCAGGTATGTCTTATTTGCTTGGATTTATTTCTTTTTAATGAATTCTGAAACTTTTTTTCAAAGATGGTGTATTTTGTGAAATGAACCTGTTGAAATTAAGCTCCTTGAGAAGAGACAGTAGGGAAATAAAAATAAAACCATTTCACCTTTGATGTTTTGCTGTAATTTATACTTACTTCATCAAGAAATTTATATAAAGGTTAGAAGTATATGGAAATTAAAGATACCTAATTAGCACAGTGAATATGATAGCCAGAAAATATGTTAAAATACTTGATTCACCAGTTAACAGTATAGTTTTCCAGCTACTAACTCACTCATTTCATCTGTGACTACCTTACAAGTGAATATATAATCAGGCTTTGTAAAGAATATCTTTATAGTTCAGTTACATTGCATTCTACTAAAACAGAAGCCAATATAAGTCAATTGGAGTGAAACAAACTAGTGAGAAATTATTGTTTTTTGAAAAAGAAAAAAAAAACTCATTTCATTGAATGTAATTTCATATGTATTTTGTCATTTTTGCCATTAGTTAAAGTTAGGTTGTTTTGTTGTTTTTTAGTATAGTAGAGAAAAATATCCTTATTTTTTTCTAGGTAAGAGTCAGAAAAATATTACAAATTTGCTTTAGCTATTATGCTGATCCAAATGATTCTAAGAATCATTAAAATGATGACTACCATATCTCACTTTATTAAAGGAAAAAAAGATATTTTGGACACATTAGTGAATACCAACTCTAATTCTTTGTTAAAAGAGTAAAGAAATGTATAAACATTAGGTTTATTTCCACAGCATTTTTCAAAATTCTAGTAACTGGTTTTATGTATAAGCTATGTTCCTTACATAATAATCTACTTCAATAGACTAAACTTCACACATTACATAGAAAAGCCAGTGCACCTTTAGAATATCTGAATTTTACTTCAAACTCTGGTGTTTTGTTTAATTTTAAAGAGGTCATCTGACTTTCCACTATTTCCTAATGAATAAAAAACTTAGTCTCTCTTGGTTCCCACAAAATGTTGAAAATGAAATTCTGTAGCTTTTTGAAGCATTTATAAGAATTTAAGCTTTTTAAAAGGTCTCATTTATAACCCAAACTATTTTATTGTTATACTTGTGCCTTTTAATTTGCAAGGGTATATAGTGTCAAAAGAATTGCAATTACACCCTGAAAAATTATTTTTATACTATCCTAATTTGACGTTAATTTACATTACAGAAACAAATTGCAATCCAAGTCTCCTAAGCATAATTGGGTACAATACAACAAGCACTGTCCCAAAGGAAGGGCAGTCTGTCCAGTGGTGGCATGCTCAAGGAATTATAGGCCTAATCCTGTTTTTATTATGTGTATTTTATTCAAGGTAAGAAAAATTATGGGAAAATTGTGGATTTTTTTAGTACAATTATGAACCTTTTTTTTTTAAATGATCTTGTCCTTCTGTTTTCTTGAACTCTTCCATTGCAGCATCCGCACTTCAAACAATAGTCAGGTTAATAAACTGACTCTAACAAGTGATGAATCAACATTAATAGAAGATGGTGGACCCAGAAGTGATGGGTCACTGGAAGATGGAGATGATGCACACCGAGCTGTAGACAATGAAAGGGATGGTGTCACTTACAGTTATTCCTTCTTTCACTTCATGCTTTTCCTGGCTTCACTTTACATCATGATGACCCTTACCAACTGGTACAGGTACTTGTATTTTGTCACAACTTTGCATGTAAAAATTCCAACCAATGCTTTGTTGATTCCATTGTATGTTAAGTCCTCAAAGTTGTTGATAGTCTCCTGCAAACTGCAACTTAACTCGAAATCATGTATAATGAAAGCCAGTCCTCTACATCATTTTGTTCAGTCAACCAGGATTTTTTTTTAATCTACATTAAAACGAAATGTTGTTGAAGGAAATAATATTCAAGACCTGCTACACTTTTTATTTCCAAATGTATTTCAAAATAGATATAACCAGCTAAATAGATCAGTGTGAGAAATCGGACTTCCTTGCTTTAGTAACAACAGTGTATATTTCCAAATCTTAGTGACTGAAATAGAAAATCTTATGAAACTCTTATAGAAATATACGTTGACAATTGATCCAACAATGTTTTTCTATATTTTAAAACTGCAACCAGTAGTGCATAAAAGTAGATGAATCCTTAGAACTCAAGACTGCAATTTATGCTTTCTTATTACTTCAAATCTAGTGGAATTTTTTTTTTTTTAAATCTGGTAAGAGGTAGTGATTTGCATTATTATTTTTATAAGGAATTCTAATTTTGTCCAGTTGATCACTAAAAGATGTAAGATACAAGTTGAACTGTGTGGTTTGGACCATTGGTTTTGTTACTTTTTGTTGTTGTTGCAAGAAGACTTTGAATATTAGCAAAAGGTATAGAAAAAGGAAAAGGCTTTGGGTTTTTTGGTGGGGTTTTTTTTTTTTTTTGGCCTTATTTCTTTGACAGCGGCATTTATTGTTGGGGGGGGAAACAAAACTTTTTTTTAATTCCCACAGCATCATATTAAGGTTTAAGAATCCAAGCAGTTCTGAATAATTCACATCTTTAAATGTTGAGATGTTTGATCAAAACTATGTTTTCCAATGTTTTATTAACACAGAAATCACCTTAATTTGGAATATATTTCCTTCCCAGTTTCTTAAATGATGAAGTGGAGGGTAGTGCACAGGGTTCCCTTATACTTTGAATAGATTATATTCTTGACAGGACAGGGTAAGATTGCTAAATCTTACTATGTTAGTGTTATTTTGTATCCAGAGGTCACACTCCATTCCTTTGCTATCTAATAACTACTAATTCAGAAATAACATAGAAAGCCTAAGTATTATATAAAAGAGCTACTTTAGAAATTTCTATATTTAACTCCTCTAAAGAAATTTGACTCTTCGCATTAGCTACTGAAGAGGTAGAGAAACAAGGCAACTTATTAATCTAGCATCTGTCTACTGTTACCAAATTGTATACACAGAACACTTCTGAAGTAATGAAACTTAGTAGCTTAATGGCTAATATCCAAACTCCTTTTTTTTGTTTTCCTTTCATTTTAGGTATGAACCTTCACGTGAGATGAAAAGTCAGTGGACAGCTGTCTGGGTGAAAATCTCTTCTAGCTGGATTGGCATTGTGCTGTATGTTTGGACACTAGTGGCACCACTTGTTCTTACAAATCGTGATTTTGACTGAATGGGACCTCTAGCATGAAAGTCCCACTTAGATCATTGTTTATTTGAAATTAACAGTATTTCCAACTTTTGTTAAGTTGTGTATGTGTGAACTTCCCAGGTAACCTCTCCAGTGTCTGGCATGTATTAGATTTTACAAGCTTGCCATTTTATTCATTATATTCTTGCCAAGCTCATTGATGTGTGTGTTAGAATGAATCAAAGAATTTTTTGAGTATGATGGTAAGTTAGGAAAAGTAGTTAGATTTATCATTGCTGCACATGTGAAATTAAAAGTAAAAACTGCTTAACAGTTTGATTTTTAAATTGTGTAGGAACTTGCTGACTTACAAAGTATACAAAGAAACATACTTTGTAAAAAAGACTGCCTTTTGAAATATTTGATGCCTTGCACTATAGGAGACTGCAAAAAATGTCACTTTCTAAGATCAGAATTTACACAGGAAAGAGGGTTTGATGGACAACAGTGTAGCTTATGCAGGAAATTGAGGCACAGAGCCTTCAAAGATGGTCACATTGGTAGGTACTAAATTGAATACCCAACTAAGTTATAATAATTCTGAGCTAGGGATAGTCTCCCATACCAATAGTGAATTTTGTTATTATAACAAAATTTTGTTATTATAAATACAGAAGTATGGCTTCAATGGTGATGCTAGGGGTCAAAAGACAGAGTTTTAAGAGAGATAATTGCGCTAAAAGGAAGTTATGAAAATCACTTTGAAAGTTCTTTCTGAAAATCAAAGATGGACAGGAAGAAACTGCTAAATACTTGACCATAGTATGAAAGCAAAATCTAGTCAGTCTTTGTTTAAAAAATGAAACTGAAGTACAGACTTAAACATTTCAGAGGCAAAGCTAGGAAAATCCAAGTCTGCCAAAAATAACCCATATTCTTTCAGGCAATGGAAAATAATTTCTATTCAAAGTAAATGCATAATAGATTTTATGCCTCATTAGTAATCTATGTGATGTGGATTGCTGGTGTCTAGCATGCCTTCTACCTGTAAACTTGAGGTCAGGAGTATGATGGAATGCTGTAGTATAAAATGCTTACAGTACACTGTACAGTTCAAAAAGTTTTTAAATGCTTTTGTATTTACTGCCATCTAATCAAAAATAGATTATAATCTTTCAACCTGCAAATCAAGCATTATGATTGTTAGCTTCGATAGAAACTTAGTTATTTGTGTTATTAGTGACTTAATGAATCAGAAAATCTACATTTGCTTCTTTTAAGATATCAATGCAAATGAAATGTAACAATTCAAATTAATTCCCCAATTTTATTGTGTGTGGATACTGTGGTTCCATGATTTTGAATGGCTGTCTGTGTTCTATCTAAATAAATGAATTCAGAAGAAGTATGTTGTGATTTAATTATTTAGCAAGTCAAATTTAGGTGGCTGTAATACTTACCTACTAAACTCCTGTGTAAAAAGAACCTGGTACTAGATAACTGTTCAATTTTTGATTGAGTTGTTTTAAAGTGATTTGTATCTTTTGGTCCTCTGTAAGTAACTTCTAAAGTTGGATCTCAGAGGTAATTAAAGCAATATTCTCCTCCTATACGCACTTAGTGAAGGTGGATCAGTTTGGAGATTTTTTTTTAATCCATGTGATAGATAGCCTACACCTGCTGTGTCCTCCAGACATTTTTCCTGAGTTGCCAACTGATGGTTCTTTCTCCAGCATTTACAGTATATTTTTTACAAACCCATTACTAAAAAAATAAAGGTAATATGATGTTCTAATCCACAAGATATATTTAAAATGGTCTAAAGTTTCTATGGGCAAGAAAATGTCCATAAAATTCTTGGGTATTTCCCCCAAAGAAAGAAAAACTTAACATTCACATAAAAACCTGTATACAAATGTTTTTAGTCACTTGATTTAATAGCTTAAGCTGGAAACAACTCTGATGTTAATTCAGCAGGTGAATGCTTAAACACAAAATGATGCCTCCTACATTGGTATACTACTGAAGAAGGAATGAACTACTGGAATACACTATTTGTGTGGATCATGAGAGGAATGCTGCATTAAAACAGCCAATCCCCTGTTTTATGTCAAATCTTTAATATCAAATATTAAACAGATTAGACTTAAATGTAAGACAAACACCTAGACTTTAGAACAGGAATAAAGCTCCTTAACCTAAGTCTTAGTAATGACTTCTCGATAGGATATCTAATGCACAAAACCAAAATCTAACAAGTGGATTACAACTAAAAACCTTATGCAACTTACAGAATGGGCAAAAAGAGACCAACACTTACAGAATGGGAAAAAATATTTGCAGATCATATCTGATAGGGGAATCAATACAACTAATAGCAAGAAAGCTGAGTAGACATTTTCACAAAGATATACAAAAAGTCAACAGGTAAATAAAAACATGCTAAATGTCACTAGGGAAATACAATCTAAAATTATAGTATCACATCTGTTAGAATGGCCATCATCAAACAACATGCCAGGTAAATGTTGGCATGAATGTGGAGAAAAGAAAGTCTTGGTGCACTGTTAGATTATAAATTAGTGTAACTATGGAAATAATAGAGAGGGTCCTCAAAAAGTTAAAATAGGACTACCATCTGATCTAGCAAGTCCACTTTTGGGAATATATCCATAGGAAATGAAAGCACTAACTTGAAAAGGTTATCTGCAATCCCCATGTTCTCAGCAGCAGCATTAATAATCACAAAGACAGACACAACCTAAGTGTCCACTTAATAGATGAACGGTTAATGTATATATGGCATCTATACACTCAGTCATGAATCACAATAATGAAGATATGTTGTGAGAAAAAAGTCTTTAGGCAATTTTGCCATTGTATGAATGTCAGAGTAAATACACAAACCTAGGTCAAACAGCCTATAAACCTTATCTAATGCAGCCTATTGGGACCTCTCTCATATGAGTCTTTATTGACCAGAAGGTTAAGTGACGCATGACTATATAATGAAATAGTAAACCACTGTTTACAAAAAAACAAAACTAGAAAATCCTATCGTTGGTGACACATGGATGGACCACATATTAGGCTACATAAAGTAAGAAAACTACTGTATGATTTCACACAGAGAATCAAAAACCAAACTCAGAGCCTTGTGATTAACAGAGGCAGAGGTGGGCAGTGGAGTAATGTGGTCAGAGGTACAAATTTGCAGTTACAAGATAAATAGTAGGAAATAATATATAACATGATGACTACAGGTAACACTGCTGTATGAAATATAGGAAAGTTGTTTAAAAAGAGTAAATCCTAAGCATTTTCATCACATTACAACACTATAAAGATTCATGAAAGTACTAGGAACAAATGGCAACAAATGTGCAAATTCATAAAAACAACATTCCGAGACTAAATCAGGAAGACAGAAAACTTGAACTGATCATGACTAAGGAAACTGTAACAGTAATCACTAGCTTCCCCCAAAACAAAAGCCCAGGATCAGATGGACTCATTAGTGAACTCTACCAAACTTTTAAAGAATACCCATCCTTCTCAATCTCTTGTGTAAAACTGAAAGGGAGGGAAAACTACCAACTGCATTCAACGAAGCCAACAATATCTGCTTCCAAAACTTGACAAGGGCAATACTAAAAAAGGTGAATATTAGCCCAACATCTCTGATGAACATGGATGTAAAACCTGAACAAAAATACTAGCAACCTGAATTCAGTATTACAGTCAAAGAAACATACCATGACCAGGTTGACCCCATACCATCCCTGGTTTACCCCATTCCATCCCTCCAGGGATGGAGGATGGTTTAACGTATGCAAATCAATGAACATGAGACACCACATTAACAAAAAGACAAAAGACATATGATCATATTAATACACAGAAAAAAACATTTGACAAGATCCAACATTGTTTTATGATAAAACCCCTTAATATAGTAGATAAGTCATATATGATAAGCCCACAGCCAAGATCATACTCAATGATGAAAACAGAAAGCTTTTTCACTAATATCAGGATTATGAAATTCTTTTCCATTTCCACTAGGATTCAATATAGTGTTGAAAGTGGTAACAAATGCAATTAGATAGGAAAAAGATATAAAAAGGTAACCAATTGGAAAGGAAGTAAACTATCACTACTTGCAGATGATATACATAGAAATTCCTAAAGATGCCAGTAAAAAGCTATTAAAAATAATGTGATTACAGGGCCTCCCCAGTGGCGCAGCGGTTGAGCGCTGGGCTGCGAAGCTGCCCACAGCCTCTGCAGCACCGGTTCGATCCCCGGCCACCGGGCAAGGGTCCCACATGGCACGTAGACCTCTCCTTTCCCCCGCTGCTCCCCTCAGCAGTGTACTTTGATCCTTCTGCCTGCTCTGCTCCCTGCTCTGGCTCTGGTGAATTCTCTCACCCTCCCGTGCTTCTGACTGTACCCAGTGCTTGTATAAATAAATACATGATATAAATAAATATCTAAATAAATCTTAAAAAAATAATGTGATTATAGTAAAGTTAAGATTACAAAATTAACACACAACCATATGAGTAGTGTTTCTGTGTGCAAATAATAAACAGAAGTAATCAGGAAAACAATCCCATTTACAATCACAGCAAAAGTTACTAATACCTTGTAATAAATTTAATCAAAGAAGTGAAAGATTAGTACACTGACAACTATTAAGACATTGTTGCAAGAAATGAAATAGAGACAAAAGGAAAGATATTTTGTGCTCATGGATTGGAAAAATTAACATAGCAAAAATGGTTACACTATCTAAAGCAAAACACAGATTAAATGCAACCCCTATCAAAATCCCAATGGCATTCTTCACAGGAACAGAACCAAAAAACTATGAAATTTATATGGAACTATGAAAGATCCCAATTAGCGAAAAAACCCTTCTGAGAAAAAAGTCCAAAAGTGGAGAGATCATGCTCTTTGACTTTACTACAAAGAAATTACAATTAAAACAACATAGTATTGGAATAAACACACACACACACACACGGATGAAAGAGGATCAAGACCCCAGAAATAAAACCACTTATGTACTATTAATTATGACAAAGCCGCCAAGCGTTTAAATGAAGCAAGGAAAGTATCTTCAATAAATGGTGTTGGGAAAACTGGACAGCCAGATATGAAAGAATGAAACTAGACAACACACTAATAGTATACACAGAAATTAGCTCATAATGGATTTTATAAAGACTTGAACATAAGAACTGAAGCCATAAAATACATGGAAAAAAACAATCAATGCTTCTTTTCCTTAGAGATATGTTTAAAGACTCAACTTCAAAAGCAAGGAAAACAAAGCTAAAATAAACAAATGGGATTACATCAAATTAGAAAGCTTCTGGACAGTAAAAGAAATTTGCATCAAAACAAAGATGCCCTACAGAATGGGAGATGCTTGCAAACATCTGACAAAGGATATAAATCCAAAATATACAAAGACTCATAAAACACAACAATAAATTTCCCTATTAAAAAATGACAAAGGATATAAATAAATAGTTCTCCAAAGACAACATACAGATTGCTAACAGGCACATGAAAAGATGTGCATGTCTTGTAGGGAAATGCAAATCAAGACATACACCTCATATTTGTGAGAACAGCTACTATCCCAAAGATAAGAAACAAGTACTGGGGATGTGAAGGGAAAGGAATCCTTGTATACTCTCGGTAGGAATGTACACTGGTGCAGCTATTATGCAAAGCAATATGGCGATTCCTCAAAAATTGTAAAATAAGAAATTTCATTACTATCCAGTTATCCCACCACTGGGTATTACCTGAAAAATACAAATGCTTTATTCAAAGAGATACATATGTTACCTTGTTTACCGCAGCATTATTAACAACAGCCAAGAGATAGAAACTCAAAATATCTGTGGGCAGAGACTGATAAACGTGGAATATATACACAATGAATACCACTCAGCTATTTAAGAAAGGATAAAAATCTGCCGCTTACAACATGAATGGACCTAAGGGTTATTATGTTTAGTGAAATAAACGAGACAAGGCAAACATCATATAATTTCACTCTTATGTGGTATGAAGAGAAAACAAAGGGATGAACTATGTAAAAACAAAAACTCAGATAATTAGTGGTCACCAGAGAGGAAGGGGGAAGAAGGGTGGCGAAGCAGGGGAAAAGGAATCAGTTGGATGATAAGGGGTACAGAATTGGACTTGCACTGGTAAGCTTAATGTAGTACAAACATGCTTGGTTTTTAATGATGCATACCTAAAATGTTATGATGTTTTACTTCAAGGAAAAAAAATTCATGTCACCAGAATCTTTTTCATTTTATTATATCTATATGAGATATCCATGTAAGTTAGCTTATACATCTATGTTAGCTGAGCCTAATGCTCACATGTTCATATAAAATTACATAT